CTAAATAACACTGTTCACACAGCTACAGACCTATAAAGGGTTATAAATACATCTATTTATATATATTCACACATTTTAGTCCCTGTAATAGAAGTCTACTCCTTTCTTGTCTCTGCCAATACTGATGGCACTGGTGGCTGTTCTCTGAAGGAATTGAGTCTACACCAATCCTCCAGCAAAAGCAACAGAAAGCCGATTACCACCGAAAGGAGAAGCTGTTGGCTCAGCTCAGCCCCAGAATGACTATATACAGAAAGGACACCCCTCAGACACAAAGTCCCACCTTCCCCCCAGCTCCCAGACCAGTTCTGCTCAGCTCAGCTGGGCAACTCGCCCTGGAGCCCACGCAGCTCAGCCAGGCACCGGGGAGCCACCTGAGCATCATCCAGACATTTACATTTGTAGGCAATAAACAGCAAGCAGCATGCAACGGTTTTGTCAGAGAAGTCAAAACAATCAATGGCTTTAACATTAGAAGCGTGTCCTGATGTGGTAAAGTCAACATGCTGACGAGAGGAGACGTACCTAGGAGGGGGTTACTCCATTCCTGTGACCTAAGCAAACATGCGTCAGTTAGTTCCACACAAATGAAACCAAACACGTCGGAGGTGCACCAAGGCCACCAGAGTCAGAAAAATTAATCTATGTTCACAATAAATATTTCCTTGCAATGTGTTTCGTCCTACAACGCGACGTATTTCCTGGGGAGCTGAAAGGCTTTGCTAAAGGCTTCCCCCACCAGGAAAATGAGTTACAGTAAATATTTCCTTGCCATGTGTTTCGTCCTACAACACGACGTATTTCCTGGGGAGCTGAGAGGCTTTGCAAAAGGCTTCCCCCACCAGGAAAATGAGAAGCTGCCCGTCCCTGTCTCTAAGTTAACACTAACAGCAGCAGTGATATCGACACGTTTCATTGAAAGGCCAACCTTAGTTTCCTAGAAAAGGAGTGGTTATGGGTTAGATTCAGCAGATTACTGTAAAGCCTCTTTTGGATCGGTACCCAACGTTCTTCAGCTTGTGAACATCTCCCATTTAGAACAAGAACAAGCACAAAGCAGTTCTTCAGCAGTTCCTACGTGGCATCTACAGGGGCTGAAGAAGCAAACGTCTCCTCCAGGGGTATTTACACTCCCCGTCTGCCCTCTTACAGCAACCAGGAGCACGGCTGAGAGGATTTGCTTTTGCACACTAGGAAACTTCAGAAGGGACCTGGCAATCCACGACCACTCCTGCCAGGTCCCGGGTCACAGCTACACAAGGACACACGTGGGATTAACACGACGGCTGGGGGGTGTCCCTCCCCAGGACAGCCAGCTACGGAGATCAAAGACCAGCACAAGGAAGATGCAGCAGAGGCTACGGCCAAGAAATTCAGGAGCTTTGGTCTTGAGGTTTCAACATGACCCTGTTTGCCACTCAGAGAAAGAGCAGCCACCAAACAGTCAGTGCTACGACCAGGAGAAAGGACATCATAAAGGGAATACGTGGAGAAGGAAAAATGCTAGAGTAGAGTTGACACTTTTTGAGGGATTTCTGCTCTTCAGGAATTGCAATAGAAACCTTTGGAAGAGTTTCTTCACGTGCTTGCCGGGGAAAGGCTGTCTCAGAAGGGATCTCCTGCTTTTTTAGTTTGTCTTCATCCTGTACTAACAGAGGACGTTCCTGTGTCTGCTTTCGTGGTAGAAGATCAAGAAAGACAGAGAGAGATGAACAAAAATGACAGATGGAAAGTGCCCAAAATGATACTTGGAGGTGTGCAAAGCGTTGGGACAGTCTTTCTTTCAATGTACAAATAAACTGCCCTGGAGAGCAGAGCCACTGATGGCCTCAGCCTTAGAGCTACAAAGTCCAGTCCTCTCTGCAGAGCTCGTGAACATCTGGATGAGGATCACACATGTTTTGTCACAAACCTCTGGATCAGGGTTGGTTTGTCACTGCCCTCCCAGAAAAGAGTATGCTCAAAATCTACCGAAGCATGGTATGGTTGAGAAAAAAAAGTGTGAGGCATTAGGAATAGAAACTGTGTAGTACAAAATGTGGTCAGTTGACAGCTTCCTATTCTACAGTGCCCTTAAAAAATGATGTTTGTCAAACATCGTTGAACACCCAGGCTGCAGTGCAGGTACAAAAGGTTTCTTCAAAGTTCTGACGACAGTATCAAAATTTCAATTGTTTTGAAAATTCTACTGGAAGAAGTGAAAACTTTGTTAACGTTTGGAATCCCGAGTGTGGAACAGGCAGGATGGCAGTGGGAGCATTGCAAACTCCAGAAATTCTGCCCTGCAGTTTAGCACTTTTGTTTCTGGAGTCTAAGGAATGTAAAAAACCAGAATGAGGAACTCGTCACGCAGGATCATGCAAGGGATCTAGCACTTCCATTGGAGAAACAAAAGACTGTGGGAATTCTTTAGTAAGTCTCCATCCCTTTTAGTCAGTCAGACCTGGTCCAACCCCAGTGCATCTAGGAGAGGAAAAACTTGGCTCTGAGCTCTCGCAGTTGAGCTAATCTCCTCTGATCAGTGCGGTACTTTGGGACTGGTTCTTTGCACACCCCCAAGTGATGAGTGCTGGGGAGAAAGTAGCTGGGAGACTGGGCAGCAAAAGAAAATATAAAATGCAAGAGTAACATGATCATTAAAACAAAAAAAACGGAAAGACAACATAAAAAGAACAGGGTAGAGTTAAACTTTCATAATTGCTTTTCTCGCCGAATACACGGTTATATCTTTTCATGCAGCTTTTTTCCAACCAGCCATGCACCAAAATAAGCAAAATTGAAAGCTGCAAAAGCTGCAGCAGTGCCAAAGTCCTCTTGGTGTGACTTGTGAAACTACTTCAACGTAGCCAAAAGAAAAAAACAAATGTTATCCAGCAGCTGCTGTTGAGTTTTTGCTTGGTGCCATTGCAATAGCAAAAGTCTGGTTCAGAAGCACGTATCAGAACAGCAGCTTTACCTCAAGCCCACCAACCTGTCTCTCAGAAGATAGGACAGTGACTTTCTTGACCTGGACACACAAAGCGTGTTAAGGTTCAGTTGTCTTGCAATAAAAACCATACAGGAACAGCAGAAAAGCAGCCCCTGGCTGAACACCCTTTGGCCACCCCAGCAGGGTGAAGATACCACAGGGAAAAGGAGAAAAAGGATTGCTTTGCATTATGATCCCTTCAACATGGGCAGGGGAAGGAAAACATCCTCCCCAGTAGGTGCCTGGCAAAGATGCATTTAAGGAGAAACAGGATTGCTTTGCATTATGATTTACCATCCCTTCAACATGGGCAGGGGAAGGAAAACATCCTCCCCAGTAGGTGCCTGGCAAAGATGCATTTCTGGAAATTCACAGCAAAATGTATCCACCAAAGTGAGTTCACTTCAGAGGATCAGCTCAAGAGGGAACTTCCAGAAATGCAAACCCAGGGCTGACACCAATCCTTGCATCGCTGTGGACCACAGCAGCTTTAGATGGGGAAAGCCCACAGCACCTGGTTTTTGTGAACAGCAGCCCCCTAAGACCTCACAATATGGTCACCATGCAAGAAACTCTTCATAATAACCAACAATATCATTCTTGAAGTGCAGTGGTGGGGCTCAAGAGCCCTTGTGCTATCCCACCCACACGTGTGGCCCTGTGGGCAGAGCTCTGCATGGCTCTGCTGCCAAAATTCCCACAGAATTTACACTGAGACTCAGCAGCCAAAGAGGGAAGTCCACCTATGTGTTACACAGCATAACTCCAAGGGTAATGACCACAGAACTGGAGAATGGATTGGGTTGGAAGAGACCTTAAAGAACATCTAGTTCCAAATCCTCTGCAACAAGCAAGGACACCTTCAACTAGACCCGGGTGCTCAAAAGCCCCATTCAACGTGGCCTTGAAACTTCTAGGGTTCACTGATCAATCCTCATTAGTTCATTTTGGGGGTTTTGTTCTTCTAACAGGGGAAAGAAAAGCCATGTAATTGTCATGGCTTTTCTCTATGCTTTGAGGAACCTGTGGTAAAACCCCGTGTCCCTGTTCTGAGAGCCCTCCCTCCACTGCTAGATTATTTCTGTTTAAACATCCTCTCCCTTAAGGTGGTTTGAAGATGAAATTCCAGCATATCTGCAGCCCTGTGGGCAGTGTGAGGAGAAGCCAGGTTGAAACCAGGAGAGAGTCTACAACTGCTGCCACAGCAGCCAGGGTGCAATTTTTCAGTTGTACTGAAAAATCACATTTACTATTTAAGAGAATTATTACCATGGGCTCTAACTACAGTTTTGCTCACAAGATTCAAATCTGAGCTAGGTCACAGCAATATTACACAGAGAAGCTCTCTGTTATCCAAGAAGAAACCATTTGGCAGATAGATCTCCACTGCTCCAACTCGGTTTCTTTGGAAAATTACCTTTTTAAGGAAATTGGCAGAGAAACAGTGAATGTATGTGGCTACTAACATACAGGCACTGTTCTGTGGGGGAAGATTCTATCCTGTATGGTCAGCCCTGCTGTAGCCACCTGAGGAGTCTTCTTGAAGCCTCCACAGCAGACCAGCACCTGCAGATCCTAATGCAAGACTAAACCCAATGACATACTGGATTAACTGGAGAATAAAGTGACTTTAGAGAATGTTACCTCTGAAGTAATAATTCCTTTTAAGTTAGGTGTTTGGGTTTGGGTTTTTTTTCCCCCCCATGTTTTGAGAGGATGCACTCCCTGGCACCAGGAACAAGCCAGTCCCCAGAACAGCCACGTGAAATAAAGTCTGGCAGCACAGATGACAGCAACACTGGGAAAAGCAGCATCAAAACCAGGAGAAGAACTTCTCCACCAAACCCCCCACGATTTTACGACACTACGACTAAAGCATCGATTCTCTCAGAGGCCACGACTCCCGTTAGAAATCAACAGTGACTGTCACAATCCCATCTAACTACAAAGTGAGGGGAGCTGAGGCTGTGTCCCAGGTTGCAAAGCCATCCCTTGGAAGGCTGGGCCGACCCCCGCGAGTCGAGGTACTCACTCCATCTGCTCCCAGGGGAATCTGCCCGTTGACGTTGAGGGTTCGGAACGGGGAGTGAGTGGACAAACGTTTGTCCCATTCACTCGGCCGAGGCTCCGGGACGGACTCCATAAAGTTCTTCTTCAGCTCACTGATGTTGGCGTGATGCTTCTTGATTTCTTCCTGGGTTTTATCTAGATCCTATCAGTAAAAGGACAGGATGAATGAAGGGACACGGAGACGACCAAGGCTGCCATCGCCTCGGGTGCCGCGTAGCAAAGCTGAGCTCAGCAGAGCTGCTGCTGCCTCCCATCAACTGTGCCCACACTGCAAACACACAAAGGCAGCGTCCTCTCTCCTCCTTCCTCTTAATTAACTGGGATAACTGGCACGGATGGGGTCTCCTCCAGGAGCAGGATGTGCCATCGGATCAGCTCAAGCTGCACTGACCCAACTGACAGCTCAGGGCTCATCTCTCGGATTTTCTCCGTGTTGGGATCTTTTAAATTGCAAGACTATGCCTGTTTGGGTTATTTAATTTAAACTGGGTGGGTCTGCTTTCTTTTCCCTCTGTTAGCCTGAATATTCATGGGTATAAAGGCAATTGATGTTTAAGAAAATGTTTTCCCAATTTGATTTATTCCCCTCTTTCATCCTACCAGAAATTATCTATCCCCGTTACCTTTCCCCCCACACCTCTCAACCCTCCAGGAGCTACCACAGGAGGTTTCAGACTTCTGAAATGAAGATGAGGTGACAGCCCTTTAAAAAAGAAATTGAACTGAGAATTTACTTCATGCCAGATCAATCAAGAAACTCCTGCTAAAATTCTTCATCTGGAAAGAGCCAGATTTCTACTCTGTGATGCCAGTTTATAGCATAACCACACAGACTTCAAGGCAAGTCAGCTCTCTTCAATTTGTTTAAAAATAGCTTTTCCTTGCAAGCAAACCACAGTTTGTTGAAAACAAAGCTTTGGCATAAAACAGGCCTAAGCCAAACAACAACTCTTCTGGACAGTGCCAAAAAGCAGCAAGCCTCACCCGTTAGAAAGGGGGAAATTAAGGTCAGTGAAAGCATCACTGGGAAATGTCACTGGTTTTGTGCTTTTAGTTGTCACTCAGCCCATTGATTTTAAAAGATGGGGGAGCAAACACAGCCCTAAAGGTGGGTCCCTCCCCAAAATATCAACATCCCTGCAGCTTCCCCAGGACACACCACCCTGAATGTTTCACTAACACCATTTGCTCTTTTTGGCACGGTTCTGGGGGGAAAAAAATCCTGTTCTGGCATTGGTCCTGGATGAAAGCACAAGGCAAGTGCCTGCTAGTTAGGGGGGGAAAAAAAAAAAAGCACAATTAATTCTGCTGAGGACTCTGGGGTAAAACCCTGCCCGGGTCCAGGAGCCCTACAGCTGCTCCAGGGTGAGAGAAGAGAGAAAGGCCACCTTGGCTATCCACCAGTGTGCAAGAGCTGGTCCTGGGAGGGTTCACAGAGAAGCCAAAGCCACAAGGAGCTACGGGGCTGGAAAGCACCTCGAGGGAGAAGCTGGCTGAGCATTTTAATGCTCTTCCTCCTGTTCTGCCCTCTCTCGTGAGAAGGCGGAGCGCGGGTTATCGAGCACGGAGCGTTCAACAGCTTGCAAGAAAATCAAGCAGCAGCTTCGGGAGTGTGAGGTCTGCTGGAAAAACATCTGATCTGGCAAATGCACGGATTTAAAATACCAGGAATAAAAGGGGTGAGCTGCTGGGGTCAGCTCTTTTCTAGGGGAGGGCTGGAGCACCTGCAACAGAACCGATGGGAAGGGCAGCGGAGAGGGAAGGGGCTGGGTGCCAGAACCAATATTGCACCAACAGGAAAACAGGGTTTAGAAGCAATGACAAAGCTCTGTTTGGGGTTGGGGAGATGGAGCTGGTTGAGCTGGGTGAAAGAAAGAGACAGGCACAGTCTTCCCAGTGCTCTGGCAGCGGCCACGTCCTGCCCGTCGTGCCGCTGACCCTTCGCTCGTGCCCGAGAGCTTAACTTGTAACAGTCAAAAATCAAATTTAAAAACAAACCCAACCCACCCCAAAGCTGCAAAACTTTTAAAATCGAGATTAGGAGAAGGCAGTTAGTACACTTCACTTGCAAGAAATGCCAACAGGGAAACCCTGCCAGCTGCTGGTGCTGCAATTTTGAGTAGAAACACGTAACACAGAGTATCAGAAGCCACAAAACGTCTTCCATAACACAGTGTATTAAATAAATAAAAATATATGATTGGCATGGTCTGCTCTGAGACCATGCTTAGGCAAAACCAAGTGTGAAGGGTCCCAAAGCCAAAGGGAACTGCTGTATGCAGAGGGATGAGATGACTTCCCAACCGCTCACAAGCCACTCATGAGCATTGAGGTCCTGGATCAGCTCCATGGGGATGTGGTGCCAATGCAGGATGGGGCTGAGGGAGCCTTAAAGGTGCTGCGAGGGAAGTAAACACTGGGAGGAGGGTCACAACACTGTGAGCATCACTGCAACACCAGCAGCAGTGTCCTGTCAGAAGCCACATGGACATCGTGGTGGCCTGAATCAGCGAGGGGACAACTCCACGAGAAGTTTGCATTCTCACAGGTCTTTTCCTCCAGGAAAATTACTTATTGCAAGCCAGGAGAAAATTGACCGTGAGCCTCTTGCTCCCCCTCCACAATTCAGTGGTTGGACTCAATGATCTTAAAGGTCTTTCCCAACCAGAATGATTCTGTGATTCTGTGAGTAAGGCCAATTGCAACAGCCAGCGGGTCCCAGAGCAGACCTGAGCACGCAGCTCTGCTAATCATATATTTTGGGGAAGTATGAGAGAATGAAAGTCAGAAGAGGCAGAAGGAAGAATGCCTGCACATTGGCATGTTCACTGTCAGCATGCAAAAGCGTATTTAAAACCAACCAAAAAGAAAGGTCTTTCATGCAAGAGCATGCAAAAACAGAGGCAGTGGCAGAAGAGGAAGAAGAAGTTGAGCGCAGATGCAGAAGGTCTAGGCAAATGCAACTGAAAAAAGCTTCAAGTTCATACAAACCTCCAACATTAAATTGCTATGCCTGATATAAATGTTTTCACCATCTAGCCTCTTTGATCTTTTCTGTGAAAATGAAAGAAAAGGGGGGAAACAAAACAAAACAAAAAAGAAAAGCACAAAAAATTAAAATGTTGTTCTTGCGGGACTGACAAATTGGCAAATTAAAAAAGTGAACTGAAGGTTGGGGGTGCAGCTCTGAGCCAGCGTGGGGTGGGGACCCAGCCGAGGGGACACGGCCTGGGGCCACCACCAGCCAAAGGTGTGGGGGGGGAATCTTGCTGATGGAGAATGGGGAGATGCAATGAGTCCTTTAAAGAGACAGCTCCCAGGGGCTCGGCGGCTCTGCCTTCGT